AGGCCTGATCATCGTGGAGTTCACTGAGGGGTCAGCAGCAGATCTGTTGCAGACAAGCTGACCATGGTGATGAACTGCATGTACTTGGTAGCAGTGCTCAGGGAAACAAAAATCCATCAAAAAGAACAAAATCCCATCAACTGGAGCAAAAATCCATAGATGGACCATCTTTGTGGACCAAAGGTTTCTGGTGAGAGTGTGTAGCCAGGTGCTGGAATACAGAAATATGGAGAAGGCGATATTCCGCTTTTATAATTAGTTTACTTTTGATCTCTACTGGGATACTGATGTTATGCTGCATCATTCTCATCTGGCCAGTGGAAGGAGAGCTAATGCCAAGCAAGCCCATAGACTACATGCAGAATGCTGAGAATCCTGGGAGTTGTAGTTTTGGATGGCAGTCATATTATGGGACACATAGGGGTTGATTTAGTAAAACTGGAGAGTGCAAAATCTAGTGCAGCTCTGCATAGAAACGAATTAGCTTCTTGTCAAAGCTTAATTGAACAAGCTGAAATTAGAAGCTGATTGGCTACTATGCACGGCTACATGTGATTGTGCACCAGACTTTGTCCAGTTTTAGGCAGAGTGGAGAGAAAATCTTTTATGGAACTAACCAGGGAAACTGCTTCCAATCCTCTCACTACCCAAACCTCTCACCCTCCCCAAATTTGTACCTCCCCAGTGGAAATCCTTCCATTCCAAATCCCTCTTCCCTCTTTTCTACCACAAATCCTCCACCCCCTTATTCCTCTCACCTCCAGCAGCAATTATGGTTACCTCCCAGGTCAGTTTTGAGTTTACAGACCTCAGATACTGTGCAGAATGAAAGATTTCCTTCCTTCCAGGCTGCTTCTTGTATTTGTCATTCGACATGTCAGAGCCAAGAAGGAGCCAAGGAGAAGCATCCCTTAGATCTGAAGTCTGTGACATCCAGCCAGCTGGGAGAGATGATGGCTGCAGTAGTGTCAGAGGATTGCAGTGTTGAGGAACGAGGGCACCCTACAGGAGATGGGGAGCAAATGCCCTGGGTGTCCTGAGTTAGTGACACCCCTGCACAGGAGAGTTCTCAAGGGAACATAGGGGATCCAGCTGTTAGCATGTGGATGCATTGCTCTAACATTGAGTAAGCCACACACTAGCCATTTCAGATAATGCCCCTCTGTTATTGGCTGAGGCACAGGCAGAGACAGGAAGCCAGAAGCTGCAGACAGAGGGACAGACTTGATGCTGGATTGTGGAACAGACTAGTGTGACATTGTATACACACTATACACACTGCATACGCAATATACACACTGCACGCATGCTGGATACCCACTGTATAAACATACACTCCTCTCACCTGTGTCAGCTGCTGGCTGTCCACTTTGGGGTTCTGAATACTAGCAGAAACTGAAGGGAAGCATTGCTCTTGTCCTCTATGTGACAGCCACAAGTCACCCAGATACATTCCAAACACTTTTCTCTCACCCCCCTTGGTAAACAATCTTTTTATTTGTTCTTGTGGCCATTGTACCAAGTGAGAAAAAATCCAGAACTAAAAACTGTCACTAGAACATGAATAAAGGGGAACCCTTGTTCCCCTTTTGTTCTACTGACAACTGTCCTCAACTTACCTCTCTTTAGACAGAATTTCTCTTACATTTTATTGTGTCTAGAAGACAAATAGTGAACAGAAAGCACTTGAATGGGACACAGATGGCAAAATAAAACTTGACAGGCATTTTCATAAATCCTTACTTCATCTAAATATATATATAAATATATGGTTTTAGATTTATAATTTTAATTGTTGATTTCCACATGAAATTACAGATACCTCCTCTCCATAGATCACAAAAGTTTCTTCAATGCTTGTTGCACAGATAATCCATAACTGACTGTGCAAAAACACATACTGCAAAACTGTATACTAACTACTAGGGATGACTGATCCAGATAGTTTGAACTCACGCAAATTCTTCAAACAATCAACTTAGCCCATAACCTGAAGTCTATGTGAGGCGAAACTACCTATTTTTTTTTGGGCTAAGCACTGCCATGATGAATATGTACCAACTAAAAAAAGAATAAAAATCAGTGGTGAGAGTGTGTCTAAAAAAGGCAACAATGAAAATACACAAATCTTTTAAATAACATGCTTGAGGGATACCCAAAAGCTGTACATGCTGTTACTGAACAGTATGTTGTAGTCCTTTAAAAGTGACAGTAGAAAAGAAAAATACTAGAATAAGCGGTGTGGGGTTTTCCAAAAAATTACAGGCATGCAGTGGTCAGGGAAGGCAGGGAAGTGAGCCTGTACCCACATCCGAAACCCTAAGAGGATATGAAGGTTTGTGTGGAGGACTTGCTATCACCCAGTGGAATGAGTACATGTGTACATTAGTGCCCCTTATCACTCATTCCCCCCCAAAAAAGTAAAATGTAAATAAATTTACGATGAAGATCTATAATCAATCATGACAACCTGCTGGCTGGTGATGTTTTCCCATCTCGGCAAAGAACCCCCACCCAACAATATTTCCCCTTATGACCTGTCAATTAGCAGTGTTAATGTGGCAGGGCAATATTGTCAGGTGGTGGGTCATTGTGAAGGAGGGAAAACATATTCTGGTCATGGATTGTCATGTTTACCTCATTGATAGGAAGAGGCGTTTGTTCCTTCCAGGAAAGGAAGATAGTGAGTTTATTCCTCCTTTCTGTACCATACCAGTCCACATGCTTTTCAACATAGATTGTGGTAAAGCATCTCCATGGCAAGCACCTTGTCACAATGTTGAGGGTTGACCTCTTCCCTACATCCAGTCCTCTTCCCTACATCCAGGGAATTATTACAGTACCATAGTACTATTTTTTAGTGATTCCCAAATAATTGAAAATGAAAATAAAAACACCAACAATATGAAAAAAACCTTTAATAAAATTGCAAATTATATTATGTAAATTCATCATCAGTCAGGATGACCTGCTGCTGAACGATTTTTCCCTGCTGTCGTGGAGATCCATATATGACGATTTTGTGACTAAATAACAGAGTCGCCAAAGCTAAAGTAATGTAAAAATAGTGCAGGGGATCCTGAGTGACATCATTGTCCAAAACCATAGTTGGTCAATGACGCTGCTTGGGATCACCAGCTGTTTCTAGCAGCTGTGAATTTGGCCAGCTGAGCTGTCCAAATATAGCCAGTTTGAACTGAGAACAGGCTAGGTTTGGGTCAAACTCACAATTAACCTTAGCCCAAAGCTCATCCTTACTAATCACTGCAAAAGAGTGAATGATTACAAGAATCTGCAGCTGAAAATCTAAAACTGATACTGCAATTTATCTTACAGCTGAGCAGAAAATGTTTTTTGTATACTGTAAAGGTGATATTATGCAAGGAAAGTGTGATTTTGCAGGAAATTGGTGTAATGGTGGTTTGCCCTATTTTTCCACCCCTTTAAACTCCAATTTTGAAGGTTCTCTGATGTGAACATTCTGCATCTCTGTACTTAACGTCCCCAGAGAATATATTTAAGCTCCTTCAACATTGATTTTTTTCCTTGCAGAGATTTAAAGATAGAAGTGCATAGAAATGGCTAAGTCAGTTTAATTCACACATGAAAGTGCATTCGCATTATTATACATTTTTCAAGTTTATATTAATTCACTAGCTAAGACTATTAAATATGTATTTAGCCCTTGATTTAATATAGTTGCTTAGTGAGTAGACAACATAATTTCTGGTCTCTTAAAACATTAGAACTTAATTACCGCTGGCAAGAAACAGAAGCACCTTGAGTGGGGAAACGGTTGAAGTCCTTAATTTCTGGCATAAAAAAAATCAATATGCCTTCTATCCAGCTTAGATTTGCATTCCATTACCCTCCTAAATAGATGCATAAGACTCTATTTAGCATTGAGAAGTGAAGCTTATAACCCATTAAAATCTAAATAACAATTGATCATCAAACTTAGTCACGCCAGTTTGTGAGAGATGATGTCTGTTTGTTCCCTGAGCAGAGGCAGAAAAACAAAACGTTAATGTCACTATTTGCATGAATTTATACACTGCATATTTCAATTATCTAAGCTTTCAGCTGATAAGAATATGTGCAGTTTATAGGTAGTATGTCAAGCCTTAAATGTTTGAACAATAATGAGCTAAAATGTTGCAATGAAATCTTTTAAAACGTTTGCCTGTTATTAGTAATTTTCCTATGAATTCTGTATTATTTTGTCTCACCATTATAAAGTGAGGCAGAATTTAAGGTTTAAGTATTTAATCTAGAATGCTAAAAAAAAAACAGTCATGATTATGGAGTTCATTGTGCATGGGGCCTCACAACATTCACATCTGTGTTTTGGACAATCAACATCTACACATTCCATGATGAATGGATGAAAGTGTATTTCAACTTTTGTAGTCAAATTAGATTATGCTTTTTATGTGTTTTAATGCACACTTAATAAAAAAAATAATATTTCCTACCTTGCAGATGCAAGGTCCAGATGCCTGTCCTCAGGACAAGTTGCTTTTTCTGTCATTAACACAGAATGCAAGAAACCCAGCTTCTGACTCTTCAACCACTTGCCCTCCAGAGGATTTACCCCCGTTCCTGACCAGTCCATTTTTTGCGATATGGTGCTGCGTTACTTTAACTGACAATTGCGTGGTCATGCAATGCTGAACCCAAATTAAATTTACATTTTTTCCGCCACAAATAGAGCTTTCTTTCAGTGGTATTTGATCACCTCTGCGAGTTTTAATTTTTTGCACAATAAAAACAAAAAAAGACCAACAATTTTGAAAAAAAACTATTTTTTTTTCTTTTTGCTATTAAACATGTCCAATAAAAAAAATGTTAAAACTCAAATTTCGGCAGAAATTTAGGCCAAAATGTATTCTGCTACATGTCTTTGCTAACAAAAATCCCAATACATGTAAATTAATGTGAGTAAATTATGTGAGTTATAGTGTTTTTTTCTTTTTTTTTTTACTAGTAATGGCGGCGATTAACGACTTATAGCGGGACTGTGGGACTGCGGTGGGCATTCTGACACTTGGAGGGAATTGACTTGGTGTTACTGACATCCCCAGTGACACCAATACAGTGATCAGTGCTAATAAAAAGCACTGACATTGTACTAATGGCACTGGGCAGGAAAGGGTTAACATGTGGGGCGATCAAAGGGTTAACTGTGTGATGTGTACCATTTCACTGTGTGCTGTGTGTGTGCTTAACACTGTAAGTACACTGCTTTGTATGGCTCTACTATGCAGAGCCATGCAAAGCAGTGTGCAGGAGCTGACAGGGGAGAGATCTGCGTTGTTTATACACAGATCTCTCCCCTGTCGGTCAACCAACCTATTATTTTTCTTCGTTCTCTGCCCCACACACCTAACTGAGCGACATATCAGATTTGGATGTCGCTCCCTTCCTTAAACATACTTGGCGATCTCCGGGTATCGATGGGGAATCACCAGCTGGGACCCGGTGATTGACAGCTGAGGCTGCAAATACCCAGAATTACAAGATCACATATATACTGTATACGTGCTTTTGCTCATCCGTGCTGCCCTGTAGCAATAATTCTGCTATAGAGTGGCACGGAAGCAGTTAAAGTGGTAGTAAAGTCACTTTGTATATCTTTACTTACAGGTAAGCTTATAATAAAGCTTACCTTTTGGTAAAAAAAAAAATATCTCCTAAACTTGCACCATTTAGGAGATATGCTATGGAGCTGCAGCCAGTGACATACCCGTGGCGTTCCTTCAGAGCTGTGTGCCCTGGCTGAAAACCCATCAGTTTCCAGGTTTTTTTTGGTTGAAGCTTAACCTCCCTGGCAGTATGATTATTTCAGATCTTTGGTGCTGAAAGCGGTACCATTATTTTGCATGGAAATATGTTTTTTTTTTTATTGTAGGGCTGTAATTTTCAGGAATAAACTCACTGAAATCTGTTCGAACAAGAGTCTAGTAAACATCCCGGGTATGATAAAATTTGAAACACTAAATCATAAATTATAATTTAATAAATAATCATAAAAATAATAATATAATAATAAATTTAATTTAATAATATAATCAAACCAAAAACACTTAAATTTGAAATATAGCGCCAAGTTCGCACATCACTGAGCAAAGTCGCAAAATCGTTTTCACTGTTTGATGACGAATTTCCCCACAAATCATTATCACTCAATTCTGCAAGTGGTTCTGATTTACTATCGCTGTTCTCTAGCTGGCCTAAAACCGCTTTTGACCTAAAGTGACGCTTTTTGGACACCATGGACATTTCTCAGTTTCCAGGCAATAAGAACAGTAAAAATGCAGGCAGGGCACAGGACAAAGCACTCGGGACAAAATGTATGTGAAATTGTTTGATACAGTAATGGAATACTATGTGATTTTAGTGATTTTAGTGAATGTCACTTTTTGTCATTTTTGAATTTCCCGCCGTTCCATCCCCCGTACGTCCTGACGCTCACAGGGGACGGAACCCAGATGACAGATGCCGGCATCCGCCGGATTACATTGTCGGGGACACTGCAGGAGGGACATCGTGGGAGCGCAGGACAAGGTAAGTGATACAGGGATCGTGGAGCAGCGCCGCATGGTATTCCCGTGTGTAGCTCGGGGTTACCGCTTGTGGTACTGAAACCTTACCCCGAGCTACACCTGGGAATACCGCCAAGGAGGTTAATTGAACAAACTGAAGTTAGAAGCTGATTGGCTACCATGCACAGCTGCACTAGATTTTACACTCTCCAGTTTTAGTAAATCAACCCCAGTGTTCAATCTAGTTTACAACTGATAATGAATATCTGCTTGTACAGTACAGAAAGGGTTACTTATGGCAAACTCACCTGCTTATCCCCTTATTAAACAAAGAGAACTAATAGACTTTTAAAATACTAGAGCCTCCAGAACTGAGCATATAAAAAAGTCATAGTTTTGAGCTATTTTTTATGTCATGCTATATGAATGAAAACATGTAACAAATACAAGCAGGTGTTGTCCCAATTTGGCTGCAAAAGTAGAAATACACTTTAAGGTGTCTGTGCTACCTATGTGGATATAATTTTTGGTTTATCTTTCTGACAATTAAACTGAAAAAGTTGCATGGAGAAGCTATGAAAGTTCTTTAGCTTTACAGAAAAAATTCAGTTGAATGTGACTAACTACTTCTAGCTATACCATGACCTGAATAAATGAGAGCCTTCACAAACCAAAGTACAGAATACTGCAAATAATAAACTTACACAGAAACACATGTTGTTATTTAATCTATTTAGCATTATATTAGACAGATGCGCTTACAATTATTCCTAAATCATTAATGAGTTTGGAGATATATACAGTAATGTGTATCGTACAATACAGGTCTTATGTATGTTTACATGTCTTAACTCCTTCTCCTTCTCAGCACCCAGGGACATGTTCACTTCTTCATATCCTGAAGAATCTTGTGTAAAAGAGAGTATAGGGCCTGCAACATTGAAGAGGGCCACTCACCTTTTCAGTTAGTAGAAGTGATCAGGAGGCTTTACAGCCACATGATTAGCTTCTGCATTCAAAGGAGAGACCATAGATGATGATCAAATAAACAATAGCAAGCATGATATTGCTTAAACCTCTTTTATTATCATGATTTACTGTATATGCTATAGGTTTACTAAGAGAGTGCAGGGTATTTACCTTTAGAATGTGTTTTTGGCAATTAAATAAGTCCTATTCTCAAAGATAATTGTAAACTTAATTTAAAATTCAATACAATTTATATGTTTATGAAATTACCCAAATATTTTTATGACAAACTGGAATTTGGGTCTCTCTACACTAACCAGGAAAATGAACACAACTAATTCACCAATCACTGAGTTCTTGACAATGAGTAGGAATACTGTCTAGAAAGATGGATGGCCAGCTCTGCTTAAACAGCTGTACATCTGTACAGGCAGGCTCATGTCCATCCATTTTCTTTCATTCTTTTCTCCACATTTTCTTCCAGGTCCTCTCTGGTATGTCTCTGTGTGTCCATCTGAAGCTGACTCAGGGCAAATGATGTGGTGGGTTCTAAGTATGTATCTGATCTGTCTACAACAACACGTTGATTAACTTTGTGACTGTTCTTCTGTGTGACTGTTCACTGATAGAAATTATATTGTACTGAAATGGGATAAGATCTGCCATTAAACTTCCAGTTTTCTGATTCATTGTCTTTGTCATTTTCCATGATCCTGTGCCATACAGTAGGCTGCTGAAAACATTACTAATAACATGTTTTTTTGAGATGGTGGTGATATTTTTGTCATCTTTGTATTTAGGAGTGCTACAATATGCCTGGCCTTGGCAATCCATTTCTTGATTTCTTTCTAAACAGCTCCACTTTTTGACATGGCCTGAATATGTAAAGTGTTTAACATATTATATGTTTTTTCTATTTATTAAAATGGGTTTAACTGTTTTCTAGTTTTCATTCCTCAAAAGGTTTATTCTTTTTGGTGTTGATCCACAATCCAAATTGCTTCTGTAAAATGCACATTGTTTTGAGATTGGCATAACTTCCATGACTTAAAGGTAATTAGCAGCAAAGCAGTATTTTTTGCAAAATCAGGGTTTTCCAAAGAGCTAACGACTGCCAAGTTTAACTCTCTACATGCCTTAATGATTGTTCTCTTCAAAATACATTAACTATTATAGATGATCATAAAAGGAGAGAAAATACACCCTTGCTTCACCCAAATGGTAATCCCGATTACATTTGTCAGAGTAATAATTTTACAGAATCTTTACAATGTTCACCAGTGTTTGGGACACACCATAACTTCATTTGCTCTGGGACATACGGTCATGATCTTCTTTTTTTTTAAAATTATTATTATAATTATAATACAGGACTTATATAGTGCTAACAGGTTTTGCAGCATGTTACAATATAAAAGGGAGACAGTACAGCTACAATACAATCAGTATTAGATATCCAGCACTATCCTACTTTAACTATAATACCCCACCAAGTCACTTTAACCGTCCTTCCCCTGAAGTACATACATAAATCAATCAATCTTTAAACACACTTGGTTACAGAAAACTCAATATTAGTGTATAAAGTCCCAAAATAAGTCCCAAAAATCAATATTAGTGTATAAAGTCCCAAAATAAGAGTTCAAAAATCAAAGTCCAAATAAATCCCAAAGAGATTATCTCTAAATCAGTACTTTCTTAAATCTTCGTGTCTCCAAACCGCCTTTTTGGTGTACTCCAAAAACAAATCCTCAAGGTAGTAACACAAGCCATAGATGAGATTATTTCCAACCTTTTTCCTTCAGCCTTTCCAACCACTTCCCACAGACCTCATAAACAGACCAGGGATAAGTGTATATAATAAATAATCACAGTACTTTATTATAGCAACTTACATTAAAATAAGAAGAGATCAGCTTCCACACACAAAGCGATTGATTCCACAATCGAGCCTCTCCTCAGTGGTGTTAAAATATCCTCAGCATACCACTTCAGAGAAGGGATAGGTAATTGGTGATAAATTCCCCACTACCCATACACCTGTATGGAGGATTCCAGGGCATACACAGCCGCGTGTTCCAGGAACAAAAATGGCCGCCACAGCACTTCCGGAAGACTGGATGACCAGGTGTTAATAAGAGGGACAAAGTAAATTTGTTTGGCAGCATGGAGGGAGGAATGGTATTTTAGAAGGGCAGATTTATATAGGGTGAAGTTCTGGAGTGATTTGGTTTTACACCACAATTGAGATTTCTGGTGTTGTCCGTTTGCCAGGGTTGTAACCGTCGGGGCCTAATTCTTCGTGTAGTTAGAGGAGCAAGTGTGTGCAGTGAGGATGAGAGTGAACTGCTGTAGCAAGAGGTAGCCAGGGGAGAGATTTTGTCATAGAGGTGGTCAGCAGCAAAATAGAGATGTAAAGGGTTAAAGGGGTGAAGATTTCTACAAGTAATCATTTGCTGCTTGGACGGATAGGTGGTTGATGACAAGGATACTGTGAAAGTGATGAGGTTGTGATCAAAGAAAGGAAAGGGGGTGTTGGAAAGGTTGCCAGGAGTGCAGAGATGGGAGAATACATGGTCAATGGTATTACCATAGGAGTGAGTAGAAGTATGTGTCCATTACATTACGTCAACAATGAGGTTAAGTTGAGAAGTTGAGCAGTAGCTGGGTTGTTAACATTAACAGGGATGCTAAAGTCACCAAGACTAACAGTGGGTATTTCAGAGGAGAGAAAGTAGGGTACCCAGGCAGAGAAGTCATCATAGAAGCGTGATACTGGTCTAGGAAGCTGATAAATCACTGCAATCCTCAGAGAAATTGTCGGAAACAGAGGAA